TCTTACCAATGTCTACAAATACCTGAAGTGCGGGGGCCAAAGGGATGGGGATGGGCTTTTTTCAGTAGTACCCAGTGACAGGACAAGGGGCAATGGGCAAAAACAGGAACACCGAAAGTTCCACACAAACTTAAGGGGAAAATTCTTTACAGTGAGGGTGAAAGAGCACTGGAATAAGCTGCCCAGAGGGGTTGTGGAGTCTCCATCTCTTGAGATGTTCAAAACCCACCTGGACGCCTTCCTGTGTAAACTGTTGTAGGGACTTTGGCAGGGGGATTGGACTAGATGATCTCCTGAGGTCCCTTCCAACACCTACGATTCTGTGATATTGGAAAGTTGGATATTTCATGAATTAAATATATACAGAGTTAGGATGCACTGAATAAGCCTTTTTCTTGTGCCTTTCTTTTTTCTCTTCTGATGACATCTCTTGAGATGATGTCCTGGTTTTTAGCTGGAGCAGAGCTGGTTTTCTTTTTACGAGTTAGAATAGTGCTGCGTTTTGCTTTCAGCCTGGGATTTGTTATGAGAGAGACACTGATAACATACCAGTGTTTGCATTTTTGTCACTGGAAGTGAAGAACTTGGTGTTCTGTTAGTCTACAAGTGCAAGATCTAAGGGGGTGAGGAATATTTAAATTAATAAGCTAAATTGGCGTTTGGATATGCCAATGGGATATTCTATATGATATCATGTCATGTCCAGTATATTAGTGAGGGTCTCGTCCTCTTTTATCTCTCTCTGGCTTTTGCTCGGGCTCTCGTTCTTCCGGGATTGCGGTTTCAGTTCGGGATTGTCGCTTCTCAGGGATCGTTATCTGGGAACAGGCCGGGCTCGGTCAGCAGGTGGTGAGCAGTTGCACTGTGTACCACTCATTTGCATATTTTCTTACTGTTATCATTATCACTACTATTTTAATATTAGTATTATTTTAAGTTTTCTTTTATTTCTATTATTAACTTGTTTTTATCTCAACGTATGAATCTCCTTATCCTTGCCCCCTAATCCTCTCCCCTGTCCCCTGGGGGTGGGGGGAAGTGGGTGAATGGCTGTGTTGGCTGCTAGGCAAGGGTGAGCCCAGTGAAACTATCACAGATGGCTTGAAAATTGTGGACTTAGGTGGTTTTTATTGTTATTTTTAGACATCCTTTTGGTATCTTTTCTCTGAATGTGTTAGTTATTTTATATTATGATCTCTCACAGGCTTGTGCAGGGCCATAAAAGTGTACTAATACAGTTTTGTAGCTCATCTGCAAGTAGAGGTAAGGCTTTCAGATGTATCTGTCTTACTTAGGCAGTGGTTCACTCAGAAGGTGGAAGCCTATGCCCCTGCTCTTATTGCACTCTTTGCACCTGCACAGGTCTTCATTGGTGAACAAATTCACCTCACTAAATTGTCAGAAAGCTGGAATTGGATAGATTTCTACTCTCTTTAGCTTTAGCAGCTACGTAAGAAGTCAGACAAGCATGAGCGGTGTTGCAGAAACACCTAGAGAGAGTATGACACTGGCCAGTTGGGGAGTATAGCTTGGAGAAGGTGTGACAGGGCCGTTGGTTCTTATACAGAATGATCTCATCAGCTATGTAGAGTTTTTCTTGTACTTTGAAAAGATTAACTAATATATTTTAGCACTGTTGAAAAGTCTCAATATTGTTTGCAGAAATCACTGAAGAATGCTTCAAATAATCAGAGTTATAGCTTTTAAATTATACTTTTTTTCTGAAGATGACAACTTTTTCTCCAATTAAAAATATAAATCACGAGAAATGTACCCAGAAAATAGGGCAGTAAGGGTGTTTGAGAGGTCATGAAGACCATCCTCATGTCTCAAGGAGGACCAGAACAGCTAAAACATGCTCTTCTCATCCACAGTTTGTCTAATGCATCCATTTCCTTGTTCCTTTCCTTCTACTTTTATTTCTCCCCTTTTTTTTTTGTACAACTTCAATCAACTGATCTTTTCCTTTGTACTTCTAGTCAGCCCTTCCTCAGTCTCCAAACTTATTCGCACAGACATGGTACTTCTCTTAAAGTGTGAACATTTCTTGCTGATCTTTTCACAAACTCTTTCTCTTCCCTTTTCTCCTCCATACTGTTCACATATCACTGGTCCACACTCAGCTTACGACTGAGAATGAAAGGTTTATTGGTTGCCACACCTGACATGCAGTCTGCACATCTTTTCCTGCTCAACCAGACATCTGAAACCAGATTCAGAATAGATTGCAAAGAAGGAAAAAAATATTAATAATAATTATAATGCATATTTGATAGGTGTGAGAAACAGTCACTAATCACTCAGTATGATTAATAGTAGTGTCAGCATTAAAAATGCATGCCATGAAATGCCAAAGTGGTCTGTAACATCGCTTGAATCCTAAGGTGGAAAGAGTTAGCAGCATGATATGGCTCTATATGTTAGAGGCTGTTGTTATTCTGTATTCTTGGTTAAGAACTGCACAGAAACTCTTGTCAGGTTTGTGACTAAGTCCAGGCTCTGAGCATATATTTGATTTTTGCCTTTTCAGCCTGAAATTGCTTCTTCTTTTAATCTGGCAATATGTAGATTTTTACATTATGTGCTTTAAAATATCAAAGAAAGCAGACCACTTTTCAAAACCTCTGCCTTTCTTTCTAGTTGCTCTTCTTTGCTTCTTTGAGAGGCGTCTCCTCTCATTACATGAATTAGCTTTCAAAAATGAAGTTGTCTGACCATTCTTGTCGCAGCATAACAGAGCTTTCTGAGTCTACTCCTGTTCCTAAGGGAAACAGCAATTTATTTTTTTCACAAACTAGAACTGAGAAGGGAACTTACTTTTTATCTGTAGCCAGTTTTCTGCTAGTCCTGCAATCCAGTGTCTATCTGTGACTATGGAATTTAGGAACAATAAAAAAAAATCTGTGTAAGGATTGATTTATATATATATATACACAATATTTTAATACTGACATAATTTATGTTTTTTAGTTATATAGATAGATTCTTCCTTCTCTCTTAGTTTTTATAAAACCTACCTAATTTAGTCTAAAATGTTTTAAAACCAAAGGCAAGAATTTTAAGGGAATCAGTACAAAAGCATGACTTGATTATGGACATTCATCTGTTACATTGCCAGTTTATGTCATGATCTGTGAAGATTTTTTAAGTGTAGCATTACAAGACATGTAGCAGATTTTTTATGGACAATAGAGATACTATTGCAAAATGTTAGAATTTTTCCATCTTTAACCATTACTTTGGGAAATTTTTAAGCTAAAAAGATTGAATGGAAAGTGAACCTGGTAGCAGTCATGTACTACTTTGCTTTTCCTATGAGTCTGCTTACATGTGTCCATACTGTCAATTCAGTCTCAATAGACACCTGTGAGAATTCGACAACTGTGTTGTCTAAAAGTTTTATCTATGCTGAGCACACACCATCTTCTCACAGTGCCATTCTGTACCTAGAGTGCACATTTGCTATTTTCACAGAAAAAAAACCCAACAGTTACATCCTGGATTTGCTGAGCAGAATTTTCCCATATTGTTCCATGTGCTCCTAGTTTTGTGTTTACAGATCCCAAAGAGCAGTCTTGTATGCTTGGAGGAGATAAAGGAGAAGGGAATGCAGACAGGGCAGGCAGAGCCTGCAACCTGTACATCATCAGAAAATGGAGGATAAAGATTTTTTAAAAATCATTTGTTGTCAAACCTGTTTGAGATTTATTTGACTTTACAAACGTAAATTATTTTTGAGGCAGGGCTTTTTTAAACTTTTATTTTGGAAGAGAGAGAGTAACATATACATACACCTAACCTAGAAAAGATGTACAGAAATGTGTTCTGGAAACAATGTAATTCTCAGCTGTGATCTCCAGCATTAGTTTTTCTTTGTCTGATGCAATTAAGATTCTTTCCAACTGTATAAAACAATCAGAGCTGATAAGATTATAAGATAAGAAACAATGTTTGGATACATTTTGTTTGCATCTGTTTAATGAGGATTCACTGGCCTCTGTGAAATAGGTTTGTCTCACTGCATTTATAAAGGACATATCTTCAGTTCATAGATATCTTCATCAAATAATTGATGATGTCAGTGGAGAAGGCAGAGAAGTAGTTTTACAGGAACATAGTTTAAATTACTTTTGTTCTCAGAGGGCAGGAATGAAGGAAGACTTAGTGAAGGAAGAGCAGAACTTCTATTGTCAGTACAGGTCTGGTTTTGTTGATGCATATAAAACTTGATTTTTTGATTTTTCACTATTTAACCTTCACATTCTGAATGCTGAAAGTGTGGTGCAAATTCATTTTCAGTTTGCCTACTAGTTAAAAAGTTATTAATTTCAAACTCTGTTTTTTCAGAGGAAGGAAACAAAGGTTATGGACCCGTTTTCGAGGAGCAACCCATTGATACAATCTACCCAGAAGAATCTTCAGATGGACAAGTTTCAATGAACTGCAGGGCTCGAGCAATTCCTTTTCCTACTTACAGGTAACATCTCTTGTTTTCATTTTCGGGTCTTATATATTTCTTAGTGAGTGTTTCAGGTTGTGGTATTAAATGATTGACTGTCTTAACAGGTCAATACTAAGTCTTCAAGTCAGGAACAAATTGGGAGATCTGCAATTTTTGAGTAAGAATCAACCTTGATTCAATCTGCCAAAATGTCTAGACAGTGTTGAAAATTTTACATTGTTTTATAAGTTTACAGCTTTTCAAAGGAGTACTGATCCAGATGCAAAACAAAGCTAACTAACAAAAAAGTGACCTTTCAAAAATTATTAAGAGACTATCTTTCTAGCTTAGGTTAAGGACGACTGTGGTTCAAGTCCTTGCTCTTCTTGATTCAGAACAGCTTTTTTATCCTATTTTGCTCTGAAAGAAGAACTGGTTGTTTAACCTGCATGTTCTACATCCAATGTTGCTTTTCTGTCTGCCATATTGTAGAGAGACACTCACAAATGTATCAGCTCTGCTACTGAAGACATGAAAAACTTTCTTCCAGGAAAAATTTCTACTAGTTTTAGCAGAGATTCACACATGTGACCTCTCACAAAATTGTGTTGTTATTAGCAGAGCAATTCTGTTTCGTTGTGGGAACTTGGGGCATCTGTATAAGTTTTTTAGCTACGATCTACTCATTATGTACAGGGAAATGTACTTAAGATTGTTATTAAGACCATGACTAATTTATAGCCTAATCATGGGCAGAAAACTACTGTCATCATACTAAGGGCAGACAGAATTTCTTGCCAGCAGAAGAGATCCATTTCATTAAGTTATCCTATGATCCTATGATCTGCCCCTGCTACTCATTTATGCATCTTCCTAAGCTCTAGCTTCTAAGACAGTAAAAGCAATTGAGTCTGCTGGCCACTCTTTTAAATTTTTTTACAATATTTTGCTCAAATATGGTATTATTCCATAAAAACAGCTTAACTAGTGTTCATTGCCTTTTTTAAAAATATGCTTACAGGTTGTCTGCATGTACAGAACCACTTGTGATTGAAGGATTTGAGGAGAAACTAGAACACCACTTTTGAATATGAACCCTGGCTTTAGTATCTTTACAAGTTTTCTATATGGCATTTTACTGTTGCACTTGTTTTCTCTCTGCATGCTTGGAAAGGACTGGAAGTGTGGAGAGATCAGATACACTTAGATTCGGTACCCTTCTGCTATACTTACCCATCACTTCCAGTCTGTCCAGGGACTGCCCCACCCTGTTTGCAAGACTAGGTAAACATACCATCTGTAGAGTGATTACAAACCCTACATAAATTTCAGCATTCTTCTTTACTTGTCTGCAAATTCTGAACTAGTGATGTCACTCTGAAAGAATTGTCTCACACCTCCAGAGCTCTTCTGTCTAGGAACAGATCTGACAATTATTGCTGATAGATGATGTGATGATAATTGCAACACGGGATAGGGCCACTTTCCTTATTTCCTGACATCATTATTTTAGTCTGCCTCAATATATTGTCTTCATTTCTTAGCCCTCCAACAGTTCATGAGCCAAAATTCTCCTGTTTCAGAGGCAGATAAGTCCTTCCCGCTGCTTTTGTTCTTTCTGACCATTCACCTTCTTAGTCTTCTTTTAGAAGTTCTTTATTTTCAGTGTTTGTTAAGCATTGATACATTCTCCCTTCTGTATCTGGTGGTCCTTCACCCTTGCTAGAGTTCAAATACTCATTTGAGTTTCTGGGAATCTATTTTTTTCCCTAGTCATTGGTGGAGCCTTCAACACTGATATGAAAGGCAGCAGACTTTCATGGGGACAAGATACGAGTCCTTTAGTCCCAATCCTGTCTGCAAATCATGGACCTCAGATTACTGTGCTGTTTCTCCTGACATGACCTTTTATGCACATACATACTGGTGATTACCAGTGACCTTTTTCTGTAGCCCCCCTACCATCTTTCAAAATTTTTTAGGTCTATTGTGGTTCTGGCATGTCTGAGGTTTCCTCAAACACCTTCTCTTTCTGTAGTCTTCCTTCAGATATTACCTCTTGGATCGACCCTAACTCATCCATAGATGTCTTTATATGTATGTTCCTGCAGTTTCGCATCTCATCTGGAAGAAACTCAGACCAGCCTTGGAAAAAGAGAAGAGAGATAGATAACTACACATTTTACTAATACATCTTCCCAAGCTTCTGGGCAATTTATAGGAAAAAATTGGTTCCCAGCTCTGAAGGGAGACAACTTCTTTTCCATTTAGTGCATCTGATCGGGTGTCACAAGGAGTGTCACGGGATGTCAGAGTCATCTTACTCTGCATTTTCATGTATGAGAAACACTATACATGTGGGAAGTCCAGCTGAACGTGGTGAGAACTGCCAATGGGAATGAAGTTACTTACAAACACAGTTTTTGTGGAATGGAGGAGCTGCCATTTAAGAGGGGAGGTTTGAGCAAGCAGATCGCATGACTGCTTGATGTGCACTCACTTGAACCATCTTTGTTAAGGTTAATTATTTTATACTGCAGAGAAAAGTTGTTTTACAAATTGATACAAATAATACTGTACTTAGAAAAAAATTATGATGTATCATAGAAACATGATTGTATTTTGATTCTTAAATTAATAAATTCAGAAGAAAACAATTTTTAACGTGTTTTATTTTTTAATTCTTTCTCCTCAGTTACACATTTTGTGCAATGTTTTCCTAATCTCTTTCATTACAGCATAAACTGACAGTTATCCTAGGTGTTTCTGAACAGGCAATATTATTATTTGCACTACAGACATGTAGTATATCTCACAAGACTGAAGTAATACCTCTAAAATCCTGATATTTACTGTGTATTGAAAATCTTGACATTTCATGATTTATTTTTAATTTATTTTTTATTAATACCACTTTTATTATCATTTATTTCTATGTCAATTGCAATTTTAGCTTCCAAATGAGTATTCTGTGTATTTCAGTACATCTTCAATAAGGAAAGAACACATAGGGTATGTGCTTTCATTTTCAAACACTAATGCTTATCTTTACCTTGTGACCAAAAATTATTTACACTGAAATAATGTTATGATCTTTAAGTTGCATCTTTCCTATTTGTGCTCAGGAAACGTGCAGTTCCTTTCAAAGAAGGTTATGCTCTCCCCCTTGTGGACACGGCAATAGATGGAAATACAGATACAAATCATTAATACTGGATCCCACTTTTTAACGTTGTTGAACTTTGTCCTTTAACTTTGCTGAAAGCAGTAGAAGTCAGTAAGGGCCAGACCTGGTCCACAGAGTTCCTCTCATAAACCCTGAAATCAAAGTTACTCAGTGAACTGGCTGCAGGGTTTTACAATAATTAAGGTGTGGATCTCCAGCAGTTTTCTGAATGTAGGAAGTAGATTTTAAATCAGACGTGCCACTGTTTTTGCACTGAATTCACTGGCATGTTAGACTTTATGCAACATTTGCATCTCCTAATGCAAGTTTGCGAAAAGCTCTTGAAAATGTCATTAGTCCTTTAAAGATACTTTAAAGATGCAGAGGGAGTATTTTCTTAGCCAGTCTGGCCTTAGATTATTTGAGGATATGTTTATAATCCCAGTGCTTGATCACTAGCTAGCTCACTCACAGCCAGCTCAAGCGTCCTTAACTACACACCTAGCAATCAAGTTTTAAACCTTTGTCACATCTCTGAGAAGTCTGAAGCAGGCTAAGACTGTTATGTTTAAAAGACCCGTGAAGTTCATCAAATCTGTGACTCTTGCTGAAGAAAACCTTAAAATATATAGAAGTGTATTAATAGCTTCCTGTAGAGTTTATCACAATTTATGAGTTATTTTTCAGGTCATATTTCTTACCAGATTTGTTTTTCTGAGCCAAATCTTATGTCTGGCTTTTCTTTTTTAATAGGTGGAAACTCAACAACTGGGATATTGATTTAACAAAGGATCGCTACAGTATGGTGGGAGGCAGACTTGTTATCAATAATCCAGAGAAATCAAGGGATACTGGAAAATATGTCTGTGTAGTGTCGAATATCTTTGGAACTGTCAGAAGCAGTGAAGCCACTCTGAGTTTTGGATGTAAGCTGATACTTAGGTCAAAATGTAGAAATGTTATGGTTAGCTTGAAATGTCCAATGTTTTATACTTCATTGTCTTCTGCGAACATGTACTGTAGCTCTGTTACTCTCTAAAAACAGTATTTTAAGTGCCTTAGTCTGTAGAGATCAACACAAACTAAGTTTTGTAAGCATTTTATATTCTTTAGCATTCAGCTGACATGTCAATCTTCTTGGTTCCTTGGCTTTGATTGCAAAACCCGTCTGGTCAAATAGCGTATTCTTACTAAAGTCAGACTGATATATTTAATTTATTTTTTATCAAAGAATAATATTCCAAATTAATTGGGAGCTAGGTGTGGAGAACTGAGTGCATTCATTGCACCAAGGCGCAGGGTATAATAAAAAAAAAAAAAATCAGAAATCCTTAGAATGGCCCATTACAATGCCTACCATTTAGGCATTGATTCAGGCAAGATCCAGTCACTCACTAAAAGATCTGTAGTTACTTCTGGTCTGTTCGAGCAGGATACACATTACTATTTCAGAAGCTGGGAGAGTCATCTTTCCCTGGACACTGACATAGCTCTGCTAGAGCATTTTTCATGCATTTGACAAAGCATGATGCATTTGCTTCCTAGATTCTTGTAGTCATTCAAGTCTGACAGCTGTGGTTGTCCTCAGAGGAATCCTTTACCTGTACCATATTTCATAAATGTAGCAGTTGTTACAAATGTAAGGAAGTAATTATTTTTAGGTAATGCAAAGTGTCTACTGGATCTCTCTCACTGTATGTTGCAATTTACAGTAGTGAATAGTCTCTGTTTAATAATAGTCTACTTAATATCTTTTTGTATGTAGTTCTGTCCTGTTTTTTTCTTGATTGTTTCTGGCTGGCTGCTCTTGAACTTACGTTTTCCATAGATCTCAGAGCCAGCCTTGGTAATTTAGTAGAACTGTATAGCTGCCTGCCATTGAAGAAAGGTGAAGTAATCTGAATGAAGTTGGCTTAGATGATTTCTGTGGTAGAATATTGCATTCAGAGGCTGTGCACTTGGCTATTACAGATGTATTGTTTGCACCACAATAGCATTTAGAGCAGGACTCCAGTCTCAGTGTGCTTTGTGACATGGAGAAGCTTCTCAAGATGTTTCCTGCCCCAAGATGTTTATAGTTTAATTTCAGACTGGATACACAAAATGAGAGTGAAAAGAAGCAAAGTACAATTATTGACCTATGCAACTGTTGTCTTATCACTGCAGACACTATTACTGTTCTCCCATAGTCTGTGGGATGATATTTAGCTCCATGAAGAACTTGTTTCTTTATCCTTTCACAACAGTCCCTTTACTATGCTGCATGGAAGTTGGTCTAAAGGGGGTCAGTTAAGTTTTCTCCTGGGATCAGAGCCACTTCTGTCCCAAACCTCTGGCCCAAAAGATGTGTCTGAGCTAGCTGCTTACCAGTCCTTGGCTGCTGGAGTTCTCACGGGGGGCACTCAGGTCATTTTAGAGAAGCCACTTTAAATCACAGTAAAGAATTAAACTCATATTTTGGAGAAGCCAGATGAAAGATTACCTAAAGTCCTTTTCCTTTCTCTTCCTGGGTTTCCTTCTTCAAATGTAGATCATCTGGTTACTCTTAGGGATACAATCTACAACTTTTTTTTTTTTCTTTTTTTTCCTGGCATTTGCAATTATGGTGACTAAAATATTATAAAAAATTAATTGCATTTGATAATAGCAAAGTTTAAATGAGCAAAACTGGCATTATGGGTTCACAGGTATCTGTCTAGCTGCCAGATATTGTATTTCTTTGTTCATTTCTCCAGGGCTAAAAATAATAATAATAAAAAAATTATTGTAGTGAAAATCCCACAGTTTTTCTCCCTTCCATTTTTTTAAACTAGATCTGGATCCCTTTCCACCTGATGAACGCTATGAGGTTAAAGTGCGAGAAGGTGTTGGAGCAGTGCTTCTTTGTGAGCCTCCTTACCACTACCCAGGTAATTCAGATCAAAGAGCTTCTTTTTGAACTGCTTAAGAGTGCAAGGCAACATAACATTTATTTTTATAAATTTCATTTAAGTTTACTTAAACAGTAACTTTTATGTAGCTTGCTAACCATTTAGATTATGTTTTCATTTGGAGTATATGCTTGTAGTTGACCGTATGTAAAGGAATTTGCAAACAGTATTTGGTATTTCAAATAGCATGAATCAAACTAATTTGGATAATGGAGGGGAGGTTTGGCCTAATATTCAAAAGACCTACATACATGTCACTGTGTCACTGTTATCCTAGACTTTCTATTGGCCTTGGACAGGGCCCATCTTCATTCCACCTAATGAAGTCACCACAACAGAAATTATGACAATGAGGTGATTTGCGATCTGGAAGTGCCTTTCTCTCAGCCTTAGCTACTGAAGAGTTCTGCAGGGATTATGCCCATAAACTCAAGCATCTGCAGTTCCACTGGAAGATGAATTTAGCTGTTAGCATCTCTTTTACCTGGCAAAATAGGATAACATTTTAGTTTCCATGCTCTATGTCTAAGTATTGCAAGGAAATGAAGTACTGAAACATATTTCTAGTTAAAATTTCTAGCTGCAATACTGACAAGGGCTTCCCAGCTTCTCAGTTGGGTCAGGGCAAGACCCAGCTGCCCATCTTCTCCCACCCCACTCTGGTTCCTGTGGGAAGGCTGTGCACAAGGGGAGCTGTGCACACTGTAGCTTGGTCCACAGTAATCCGCACCCATGGCAGTGGTACCCCAATGTTCAGTGTGGACGGATATTAGCTGACTGCCGAGACAGGTATATTCTTGCTCATGTAGCTGCCTCTTCCAAAGAAAAGATCTATAAGCTAGCAGTCAGGGTGACATAATTTATATGCAGACAGTATTCCATGGCTTAAGTAGCTGGTAGTACTCTTTTTTCGTACTGACTAGAAAATATTTTCCTCCAGATGATCTCAGTTATCGCTGGCTTTTAAATGAGTTCCCAGTATTCATTCCTTTGGACAAACGACGATTTGTGTCACAGACGAATGGCAATCTCTACATTGCAAATGTAGAAGCATCGGATAAGGGCAATTATTCATGTTTTGTGTCCAGCCCTTCAATAACGAAGAGTGTATTCAGTAAATTTATTCCACTTATTCCACAGTCCGATCGTAAGTATTTATTGGAAATACTTATATACATGCAATGTTCTAACCTTATTTTAATTTTGCTCCTTCATAACTACTTTCAGCTCTGTGAGGAGAATGATATGGCAAGTTATAATGGCTGTTGCACAATGTTGTTTAGTTTTCCACACACAGAGGTCCAGATCATTCCCATCCCCAGTGAAAACTCTGTGAAAGAAATCTCTCTGCGTTCATTCACAAATTTCCTTTCATATCGAGAACAGAGTTCTCATCCACAGAGTCCTCATCTCTTTTATGTGATAAGCCCCAGTACACATTCCAAAATCATTATTATCTTTTCTAATCTTGGCATTGGTTCAAAGGGGCAATTAGTTTCAAAGCAAAAACTTTATGTAAATGTTGATTAACAGCTACAGGAATTATTTTTTTTTTCCCAGGAAATCACCCATGAAAATGGAAAATCCTTTTCTCCTGTTGAAATTTCCTATCCAATGGTGGCCTAAGTGCTTTGTGTCTCATGAACAATCCCCTAAGCCATCTATGTGGCTTTGTGTCACTAGATTATTCTCTGCAGATTATTTTCTTCATGAAAACTGCATGTTTTCCAAATGATAACCAAGTTCCCTTTTGCCACGTCAGACTGTCAGTCACTAGAGTCTCATAAATGGATCATCAGGATTTCAATGCCCCTTTCACCTGTTAAATTTTCCATATTACAGTGAAGAACTGTGATTGAATTTGAGTAATTAAAAATCAGTGATCTTTGTCCAAATTTTCCATGGCCAAGAGGAGATCGGCCAAATTTCCATGGCCAGTTAGGCTGTAGATTTGCTGGCTTTAGCTCCTTCATACCCTTACTAAGACAATATTGAGCTTTAATTCACAATAATACAAAATCCATCCAGTAAAAGCATCTGTGGAAAATAAAGACTCGGGCTTTTGTCTACCCACACACACAGTACATCATCACATTTCAAATGCAAGCAAATGAGTTTACCTTGAAGCATTGTGCTGTAAAAAATGTTAGGCATTACCATCCAAAGATAACTACTTGCTGTAATTCTGCCTTCCTATTAAAAGTTCAGTGCTAAATCAGACTTCATGGATGGCCATGCTATTTATTCATTGTAAAGAAGAATTTTGTCTGGAATTTTAAGAACATTTTTTTTTAACTCTGGAAGTTTTAATTTCTGCCATGCCTTTTCTGAGAATCTTTTTTTTCATGTTAGGTGCAAAAGTATATCCTGCTGATATCAAGGTGAAGTTCAAGGACACATATGCTCTCCTGGGGCAAAATGTGACACTGGAGTGTTTTGCTCTTGGGAAGTAAGTATGTTTTGAAGTTATTGTAGAGCACTATTTGCTTTCATATTCCAGGGAATATGGAAATACATGTTTCATCCTTAAACATTTTTTTGTAGTCTGCAATTTAACAGCCAGTTCTTGACATGCTGATTTGTACTTTACTGTATCTTTTCAAGTCCGGTTCCTGAACTCAGATGGAGTAAATACCTTGAACCCATGCCAGCCACTGCTGAGATAAGCATGTCTGGTGCAGTTCTTAAGATCTTCAATATTCAGTATGAAGATGAAGGACTTTATGAATGTGAAGCTGAAAATTATAAAGGAAAAGATAAACATCAGGCAAGAGTTTATGTACAAGGTAGATAGAACAATTTTATTTTTCATGATCTATGTTGCTTTTACTTATGTTGGAAGTATATCTGTTCTCACACTTGATGCCAGTGCTGACTCATTGCATAATCCTGGCACACTGCTGTTCAAGTTAATAGTGTAAAATGAAAACTTGTGCACTGAATGCCAGGTATGACATTTGTGTATCAATTGAACAACTACTCGGTTTGTCTGGTTACGATAACTGTATATACACCTTGACAGCAATGTCTCTTGTATTAATATAATTATGTATAATGTAAATTAAATACATTTAGAGTACCTAAAGTGAAAGAACAGCCAGGAAGAAAAGTAGACCATTAGATTTGTTATGCTTTCTTGTTTCCTCATTTCCTTTGTATTTTCTAACTAGTTTAGCTCTCTTCTTGGCTACAATCAGTTCTTGATTCCTTAAGCCTCTATCTCTTCCCCTCACGCATTTGGTTAAATGAGGAACCAAAAAATTGTATCTTATTGCTCGTAGCAGAATCATCCCAAGTCACCTCACTACCTGACTGAGACTTATGCCACAAAACTGTGACATGAAAAGATCGTACGTAACATCTGAATTATGTCCAGAAGATTTCTGTCTCTTTTCATTGACTGTACAGAACATTCCTGGGTTAAAATCCTCAGTTAAGTTCTTGAACTTTGTTGGGATAAATTCAGAATTGGTTATTACTAATTGTTATAAGTAAAGCTATTAAATAGATTCATTTGCTTAGTAAAAACTGGGACATTTTCAATATTAATTTCTTACATACCTTCTCTGGACCAAGATAATTTTTTCTTGGAGACCCTTTCAGTACATAGATGATATTTTACAATTTTATGTAATCTATGTAATCCTTTTTAATGGAGTTACTGAATAATTTCCACAGATCAGTGTAAGCAGTAACTTCTTATATATTTGGACATTCCTGAAGCATTATTTCAGTTTCATATTTTCTTCTAATAAAAAATAGTTCAAAGTTATTTTGAGTCTGTGTGGTAAGACAAAAACATCATTCTTTCTGTGCATTGCTGAGTTATCATTACTTTGTGTGGCCTCTGGAGTATCATGGAAAAAGCAGTGGAATTAATAGATTGTAATGCTAATTTAATATGTGTCTGCTGAATTTACAAGACATCACATTTTTTATTCTTCAGCCTCTCCTGAGTGGGTCGAACATATCAATGACACAGAGAAGGATATAGGCAGTGACCTATACTGGCCTTGTGTAGCTACAGGCAAGCCTGTTCCAACAATTAGATGGTTGAAGAATGGTGCCTCGGTAAGTATATTGCCATAGTCAATGCAGGGTTGATTGGCTAGCTGATGGAAATGATTTTTTGAAACATGCATTATTAAAAGGTTAAAAGAAAATTAATTATAATGATACAAATATTTGCTGATTCAACTTGCATTAGGGATTAAAATCTACTTTTTAAAGTTTTATCTCAGTCTTCTCTTCAGTTTTGAAATGCATTTCTTCAAGTTGTGTAAAATTAAGCTCTGAGTTATGAACTTGACTTTTTGCCACATGCTTGGGAAGTGGATGCCCTTTTCTCTCCAGGCTTTTATAAGTAAATGCTATCTTCTTCTCACTGGATAAAAAATATCTATTAGCTTCCCTCTAAAAATAATCCCTTTTACCACATTACACACGAGTGTGTCTGAAAATATAAGAAAAAAAGGAAGAGAAGAAAGAATAATTTTAAATTATTAGTGGTGTTCCTATATCATGTACTTTTTCATACTTTTTCTAGCCACAGAATATTGTAAAGTTCCATTATTTTAGGTGATGTGAAGTTTAAAAGAGGATCATTTGATAATTTAAGTGTATTGCATTTAATATTTTGTTTAAATTAAGTAGATTTTCTGTCCAGGCATTTCAACAACTTATTTAATATCCATTACTTATACTGTATGATGAGCCATTAAAGAGCAAATTGAATAGAAGAGGGCATAGTGTAATGTTGCATTTGTTCAGCTGTGATGACACTGATCTTGGCAAGCAAACAAAAAAAAGACAATGACACAGCGTTGTTTTGGCTGTGTATCTTAAGAAAAATATGGGAGGTTGGAGGGAGAACAGAGATATCGCCATCTGCCATATGGAGATGGCTTAAACCAGAAAAAACAAGTCTCTTTTCTAGCTTCTGTAGTTATTAAAAACAAATTATTTAGCAAATGAATTGCTTGATGGTCCCCACTGAATTTGGCTTTCCCTGACAAAATCTGCATACTGGATTGCAGAAATCAGTGTGCCATTCTCTAGTAGCACACCAGAAGATAATGCTGTATGTTAATATTACAAGATGATTTCCAAATGGAAAATAGCAAAGATATTTAAATTGCCTTGAGAATATAGCTTGCTCCTAAATCAGATAATTTTTAATTAGGTATTTTATTTAGTACAAGACAAAGATTTCTTGTAGAAAATCTGATTTAAATGTTTTTCAGTAAAACAGTACAGGAAATATGATTAATTTATTATTTTTTAAAATAAATAGTATTCTTTTAATCTTCCACTATTCCTTGCACTGCAGTTGATTCATGTACTAATTTTAAAGCTTTTCAGCTTCATTTTCACAAGAAAACAGAATTTATTAACATGATCTTTCAAAAACCTATTGAAATCTATTTGTAATTTGCAACATATCTCACCACACTGTCCATTTTTATACATATTTTTTTTAGATCAAGCACTTCATTTTGATTTACTAAATTTTCTTTTGATATTAAAACAAAGTAATAGAAAACAGTTTATGCTACCTTCCAGAAGAATCTTCTGAAAAACTACCTTATTGGGACTTGCTTTGACCTTTTACTATTGTAAACAATGTACATACAATATAACATACTGAACACTGACCATAACAAAACAAAGCTTATGTACATAAAATGATTTTAATTTCTTGGTTCTTCCTTCAGAATCAATAGTGTTTGCATTGTTATGCTAACAGTGGACTGAAGAATAGATATGTCTAGTGCCATTCAGCTATTAATTTTCCAGAAAAATATCAATCGACACTGAATCTTTATTTGAAAAAGAAGGTGAACACATTGTCACGAAGACCGAAGTGTAACATGGATACAATAAAATCTCATTGGTCCTTGAATGTTGTGTGAGGGGTTCTCTTCCAAATATTGTCACAAAAAAAAAAAAAAAAAAAAAAAAAAAGAGAAGTGTGAATGGGAGTGAATTCTTCAGCATATGTAGTCTATATGAATATCTTGTTTTGTTGATTCTGTGTTTTAGTTTCGGAAAGGTGAACTAAGAATACAAAGTCTGAGCTTTGACGATGCCGGCATGTACCAATGTATAGCAGAAAACACGTATGGAATTATTTATGCAAATGCTGAACTGAAGATTGTGGGTCAGTGGGATTATTTGCTCTATTTACTATTTCAGGTTTGAGTAAGATAACAGTCATATTTGCAAACCTTGTTTGGTAACACATTCCTGTGAGTATAAAGCTAAGAACCCTCACTGGATCTAGGTGAGGTGGGGTTTAGTTCAGCTCCCTAGCTGGGTTTTGGCAACAACTTGAGGAATCAAGTTACTAATTTATGGGGAATGTTTGCTGCATTATTTCTGATGTTTGCTTGCTGCTGTTACCCCTCAGAGGAACTAGGGCACAGATTCTATTAAGTGCTTAGAGTTGCTGTCTGCCCTCTCAAGCTTGCAAAACTGGTTGAGAAGTGGATTTTTTGCTCACCTATGCTCACTCTCCTGTGGGGCAAAATCTGCTTGTCAGTCAGCAGGCCTTTGAAGCTCTTCCTCTTCACTCTCCCCTTTGCTTCTACCTTCTGCCACTCATTACGACCATCTGCAATGCTGTGTGCAATATAGCTGCCCCGTTAGATGGATAGATGTAGTTACTAATCCATTGTGTTTTCCTAAGGAGCATCCTGTTGCAAGCTCACCTTTCAGATCCAGAGTGCTCAGGCTTAAAACAATTTCTGACATTCTTGCTGGTGTCATAAAAGCAGGCATAATGCCTGTACGACTTGGCTTGCATAGGAGATTTCCCTGCAGCAGTTACCCTGGATTCTTTCCATCTCATGCTTGCCTCCAGACTTTCCCAAGGGCTATTCTTGAATTCCCCAACCCATTGCACAACAGCACTTAATCCTTGACTGTTCTTCTGTTACTATATACTCACTACCAGCTTGGATTACCCAGAAATGAGTACTTTTTGCATGCATATTTTCAAAATTCAGTGTTGGTAAGATGTGGATGTTTATAAGACTTTTTCTCTGTACTGCTGTACTTAACTAATAGCCCTATTTCCACAAGCTGGGCACATACTTGCTGGCATGATTAACAATGATGGTACGCCAAGAAGCAAGATAATTGAAAATATTTTTTTCTTTTATTTGGTTACAAATAAAGAGAAAATTAGTAAGCAAAGGTCTGACCTCAGATACATGTGTGGTGCTTCCTACAGTCATTTTGCATTACTTTTGTACATCTGAGTGCAACTAAGGCCAGTTGGCCAAAGAGAAGACTACAAAGAGGAAGAAGGTCACTTGCTAGAGGGGGTTAAAACCACTGAAAAATAAACCCAACTATTATTTCGAAGCATGATCATATGATCAGCTTTTTACAGAAGTTGAGCTCTAGGATTCTAAATTGTATTAGGCCTGATCAGAAAGCCTTTGAAAGGGAAGAACTTTGTATTGATTTCTGCCGATTTTGGTGTTATTGGATTAAATTTAGGTGGAGGTTCAGAAATCAACAGAAAGAAACCTCTAGTGTAACACAGCATAGAACTACATAATGATTTATCTTTTAGATCACCATTTACTTCTCACCACATCTCTGTACTGTTACTGTTTTCTCACTGGTCTGAATAATGGACACTTGTATACAATTCAGTAGTTCTGTCATTTAACTTCATGATGCAAACAAATTGTATTCTGCAGGAAAATCACTAACAGCAGTACTTGTGTTAATGTTTGCTTTCAGCTTCACCTCCTACTTTTGAACTGAACCCTATGAAGAAGAAAATCCTAGCAGCTAAAGGGGGCCGTGTAATCATTGAATGTAAGCCTAAAGCTGCTCCTAAGCCAAAATTCTCGTGGAGCAAAGGAACAGAATTGCTTGTAAATGGGAGCCGGTTAGTATTGACTGTTAGTGGACACTGTGAATCTTAAAAAAACCTGTTCTATGTTTCTATTTATCCTGTAGACTAGTTCTCACTTTTGCAGATTTCAGGGGCAGGAGAATGTGTAATTTCAGGAAAATGGGATGCCACAATGTTACTAGCAGTGTGGCTCCAAATAGCTAGCAGGGTATCCAACTTCAGACAGTCTGTTTGGTGCTGTTCACATTTCAGAACTGAACTGGATCACAAAACTATAAGAAAAATACTTGAATTACTAGACACAAATAAAATTACACTCTCTTGCTCCAGCAATGGGAGGCATCTAATCATACCACAGTCTATTTAAAAATTTTTTACTGTAATGCAGTAGTTAGAAGTGAGCTTCCAAGAGGTGTTTGTGATTTGTCTCTTTACTTACTACAATTCTACTGAAAATATTGCTTTCTAATATAAAAACCTAATTTCTCTTGCTGTATTTTTTCCACTTGCAATAGCATACGTATCTGGGATGATGGGAGCCTGGAAATTATCAATATCACAAAGCTGGATGAAGGTCGTTACACCTGTTTTGCAGAAAATAACAGAGGAAAAGCTAATAGCACTGGTGTTCTAGAGATGACAGGTAAATCTATAAATTGCATTAGTTTGTTTCAGGCAGAGTCCCTTAATTAAAAATCACTATTTTTTGTTCCAGCATTGCACTACCTTTACAAGACATTTTATATCTTTCCTTTTTTTAATTTAATTGCTCATTAAACAATGAATTGAAGCATATTGCTCAGTAGAAACTGTTTGCACCAGTTCTAAGACTGTATTTCAGTTTTCAGTGATGGTTTTTCCATATGAGATTATTAAATCTGATCCATTAAACTGACACATTTTGATGCATTCATTCAATTTGGTAGCACTCAGGCTAAGGTTTAAATCTGAAACCATGACTCAAACAGAAAAATGGGATCCTTAGTGACCTTCCTTAGTTTTACTTTTCTTTTTTCTTTTTTTCTTTTTTTTTTTTTTTTTTTTTTTTTTTTTTTTTTTTTTTGCAGGGTTAGCAAGTGTGAGAGAGCATTGCAGTTAAAAAAACCCATGCGATAAATTTCTGAGATAGGGGCATATAGCCGTATGATTGCACTATTAAATTCCCTTCCTTTATGGGTATTAGTATTTACTGATTGAATACTGGTATTGTATATTTGTATTTGTATATTTTAAAATATATATTTTAAAATATACAAAAAATTGTATATTTTAAATCTGATGTCAAATTAAATAAATAGCTGTAGAATACAGACAGGAAAGATGACATTCATGAACAGCTATGTCTATCAAGTATCACTAATAGTAGAAGAGTCATTTATCAAATACTTTTTTAAATGTCTGTTCCAGAAATCATGCTGCATGTGGCAGCTGACTGCCACAATATTGAAGTACTAATGTAAGAATTAATCTGTATCATTAGATCATATGAAAGTATTTATCTGGCTCATTTATTATACCAAATTTATTGTACCTAATGAATTGTAAGACTTTATTTTGATGAATCAGTTTTTTTAAATATTTGCAGTTACTTTTTATCATCATCTTCAGTTTTATATGTCTTATATATTAACCTCAGGCATTTAATGATTTTCAAAGGTTATGCAAATAAATATTCATCCTCTTAATAGTCATAGCATACCTTCTGAAATCTGGAATTTTGCATGCTATATGTGTTTAAGTGAAACACTTAAACTGTATGTTTATAACTCTTATAAACTAGGTATAAAGAATCTTAAAATCTTGGATAATTCTGTTCTGATTCATCTAAAAAGGAAAACCAAAAGACTAAGACATTTCCCTTGCATTACAGCGGAAACAGAAGGGTCAGATGACATATCTCAGAGTTATTTTCATACTTCTGACGATAATGAAGGTTGATGAAGAATGCTTTGAAAATGTTATTCCAAAGCACATTGTGTGGCCCATAAAACTTCTCAGACATTGTGCATGACTACAGGAAATTAAAAAGTTAAATCTGAAGCTGACAGGCACTGTAAAGTCTGGTGGTTTTTCCCACACACTGTTTGTTCACTGCCCCTGGACCACTCTTTCAGCAACTTCTTACACTGGTAGAGTACTTTATGTAAACATTTAGAAAATCACCGGTGGTAGAACCGAATGCTGAATGTATAGGCGCAGTGCTAGAATGGAGCAGTGAGTATCCTAAGTGTGTGTCCATAGCTAGGACTTTAGAGATCAGATGTTGACAGATTACTCCAGTGCACTATGAGATACTCCATTCTGCAAAAGCCAGTAGTTGTGCCATCCTCATAGTCTCAGTATTGAGTTTTAGATTACTAGAGCAAAATCTGTGGGAAGGTTTATCTCCAAGTCACATGGATGAGAAATTTTGTGTTTATTGCTGTTCTTTGTATGGTGGAGTGTAGTGTGGCCCTTGGAGCATGCACAAGCCTCCTTCTTAACTAGTGGCAATAGCTCTTTTCTTATGGCTATTGTCTTCCAGGTTTTGTTACCCTACTCCCACTCTCATATTGGTGGGAAAGACATTATATGTCATGGCATGAGGAAAATTTTCTGTGGCTTTTTGGTTTATGATAATACTTGAAGGAAAAAGAACAGGTCTTAGTGGTCCAGTGAGTCTTTCCAGAACAGTGTTTCTATTTGTCATGTGAGCTTTATGCATGTACCAAGGTCTCTAACAAGCATCATGAGATCTCTGTCTTTTTTTGTTTCTATAATAATAAGAGACATTGTGTGGGATATACAGCTTTCTTCCTTTTGTTGTGTTATTTTCTTTTCCTTTCCACATGTAGCTATTTGCATAATGTGTTACGCATCCATTATATTGTTTCTCAGTAGATAAATTAAGATCTCAGTACCTGCAATGCTCTAATGGAAATCTGACTCAGCCTGACAACTGAGTAGCACTTTCCATTCATTAAAGATACAGGTTTTAAAACATAAGAAATATAATTAAAACAAAAAATGCAACACAAGTCACATAAGATTTATCATCTGTCTTCTTTCTACCCGAGATATAGTCAATGAATAAAAATAGCTTTAAATAGTCAGTAATGTGATTCAGAGACTGAAACATAGGTATTTTCAAAGGACAGCTAAATAGAAGATAGGTGTTTCAGTTGTAAAAGGTTTCCTTTGTTCTATTTAGTTTGGTCCTTTGAAATGTAGCTGCATGAATAATGCATAAACCAGAGTTTGAGGGAGTGGTTTAATGTATAATCAGAGTTATGGAGCTGAGCTTACATTTGGATAAACATTTATTTATTGGAATTTTCCATGTTTGCTGTTAACTTCACAGAAGCTACAAGAATTACTTTAGCTCCGTTGAATGTTGATGTCACCGTTGGAGAGAATGCTACCATGCAATGCATTGCATCCCATGATCCCACATTAGACCTGACATTTATTTGGTCTCTAAATGGCTTTGTAATAGATTTTGAGAAAGAGCACGAACATTATGAAAGGAATGTTATGGTAAGATACTATAGATCCTTATTTAATACGTGTAAGCCAAATTTTCTTTATTGTGAATAGCTGTCTTCTTCTGTTTTACTTTTTCTGTTGTGTTGGTTCAGGTCTAGAAAGATTTATATTCTTAGCAGTAGGCTAAGAATATAAAATATCATTACAATTCAGGCACCTTACAGATCTGTAGTCACTTGCAAGTAGATACCTGATCAGATATCTGTATGGACATAAATATTTTGGTACCTCAGTTAAATCCCACTCTGATTAATAGTGAATATAGTTGGTAAGTAGGTATCCTGATCGTAAACAGGGTGCAGATTATCTGAAAAATGTGTGCATATGCAATCATTTTTACTTAACCATGTTTTTCTCATCAGCATTTCTGGAATTTGGCACAAGACTGGACCAGATGGTGGGTAGGAGTCAAACAGTCTGTAAACACTGAGCAAAAAGAGTTTGTGTGAAAACTAAACAAGTTAATACAAAGACATTCATTTTGGCACATAGAAAGAGGAATCATAGATCTTTCATATTTGCATGTATGGTTATCTTTTTACAGTATTCTATTGGGCTTACTCAAAATTAATACCTTGAGTAGAAATCCCTTCTTGTTGATGGCTAATCACATGCTGATTTACCTAATATTCAACAAAAACCTCTCAGTGGTTGCCCACATGTATATATATATTTATTATCTTGTTCTGGGTTTAAATGATACAAAAATCCTCAAATTTGGATACTTTTTTTTTTTTTTTGTAGAAGTATGCTAAGATCAACTGAAAACATTGAAAACCAAACACATAAAGCCCTTTCTTCAATAAACCTCCTGAAAGTCTATGTCCAAACTCAGTAGGAGAGTACTAAGCAATTTACAGTGTATTTTGTGTTGCCTCAGGAATTACAAAATATGTAGATCTTCCCCAGTACACTAGCATCATGCAGAACAATTCCTGCATGTAACTATTAAGCTACCTTTTGATACATTTATCAGTACTAATTAATGCACAGAAGTACCTTGAAAAAGCCTGAATCACCTCCTAATGGCATTTGTTTGTCTTGAGATAAAGACTGGAATGAGTCTGAGTGTCAGTCAAAGTAAGCTTAAAAGTAAAGCCCCATTAAATGTATTTCTTGTAAACAGCAAATAAAACCACTCTCGTTTTGTCAGATTGTATTTAGTTGATTGCTTTTAGCTACTTGACAGAAGTCACACAAAGAAATTTTGTTCCATGAAAAAGAAAATCAGGCAGGAAGTGTTGATGAATCTGTAATTTTGGTGTGGAAGGTAAAAATGCCTTTACCAAGGGACTTTGTAATGCAGGGCGATGTAATGCAAAAGAGAGGAACCTGAACTTTCTCCATCTCTTGACTATATGTTGAACAAAAGCTTTTAAGTCATTGATGCATACTTTTGTGTTTTCCTCTTAATAATGAAAATGGAGGGAAATTGGATTTTCTTCTTTTAGGGGTGTCCTGATTCACAAAAGGAAATTAATTCTGAATTGTAATCTCAATTTTAGGGCACTTTCTAGTAAAGCACTTCAAGTGAACAAATCTGGGGCCAAATAAGGGCCTCAGCAAGTGTGTAACATGTAATTCTCTCTGAAGGTTGACTTAGTGTTTAGGATCCCAGCCACCTGTTTCATCTTTGAGAGATGGACAGTGGTCCTGGAGCTCCAGATCCCAAATTCTGATTAACTCCACAGTATTTTAGACACTTCATCGAAGTGCTTGATTTTTTAAAAAAACAGATTAGTGGAGCCTAGCTTGGTCTCTACAGGCCTTCTGTGGTCTG